TTGACCTTGGGTTTCTCTTCTATATCCTCCTCATGGCCCCAATATGGCTTCTGGGCCTCCAGACACGAAGCAGGGGAAAGTTGGTTTTTATTCATATCAGAGACAAGTCTCAAATTATGGGAAGCTACATGTGTATTTTTAACTGACCTAAGACAAATGTGGGGCTTAGAGGTGAGAAAAAAGGTTGGGGTCCTAAAGCTACAAAACAAGCTCTTAGCTCAATTTAAATGGCAGAAAATGGCAGGATGCCAGTGGCTCGTGCCTATAATCCTAGCTATGTGGGTGAATATTAGGAGGATCAGGATTCAAGGCCAACCCAGGCAATTTGTGAGAGCCCATTTCAATCAATGGCTGGATGTGGTGGCACAGGCCTGTCATCTCATCTACTGCATGAAGCATACATGGGAGGATCACAGTCCAGGGCAGCCCAGGGAAAAAGTGAGACCCCCATCTCCAAAATAACCAGAGCAAAAAGGGCTGGAAGTGTGGCTTAAATGGTAGACAGCCTGTCTAGCAAAATGCAAAGCCACAAGTTCAAACCCCACCACAAAAAACAAAAAAAAGTAAGCAAATAAGAGAGATAGGAGGAGCAAGTGTCAGAAGTCAGGTCTGCATTAGCTGTGTGCACACAAAGCTCTGCTGTCCACATTGCTCCCTCAGGGAGTGAGGCCATGAGGGTAAGAGTGAGAGCTCCTGTTTATAAAATGGCTGTGACAAGTCGGTGGTTCAAAGGTGATTATAATTGTTTTTGATTTCCTTCTCTTTTTGCGATACTGGAGACTGAACCCGGGGCCTCAACGGTGGGCCAGGGCTCTACCACTGAGCTAAAGCCCCAGCCAGTGGTATTTTTTGTTATGGCTGATTACCTTTTAACTTATTTATATATTTTAATTTATTTAGGATTGGGGAGGACAGGGTCTTGCTATGTTGCCTAGTCCGGCCTTGAACTCCCAGGCTCAAAGCAATCCTCCTGCCTCAGCCTATAAGTAGCTGGAATGACAGGCGTGCGCCACTGTGCCTGGGACAATTTTAAGTGTGTCTGCCACTTCTTTCATCCTTCCCCACTAAAAGTGGAGCAGGACCTCCTCTCCCTCTTGATTACAGGCCCACTTTGACTCCTAACGAACAACAAAACATCAGCAGTGACAGAGTGACTTCCCAGGCTGAGACCTGAAGGGCAAAGTGGCCTCCACCCAGGGCTCACACTGAAACTCTCGCCGTGGAGACCAGCTGCTAGTGGCAGCCCCAGATCTGAGTGACCAGCCTTCGATGAGACCCGTTAGCCACCAGCAGACTGCAGCCGCCACTGGAAAGCCAGAAGCACCCAGCAGACCAGAGCACAAAGAGATAAGAATACACGGTTAGACCGCCAGGTTTAGGGTTGTGGGGACCTGTGGCGGGTCCCAGCTTTGAGGCAGCTCGCCCTGTTGGGAAGATGCTGAGGTGGCAGCCATCTGCAGTTGCTGAAAATACTTTATTGCTTTATTATTATTCTTACTCTAACTATGCAAAACTAGATTTGCTTAAAATGTCTCACAGTCTCTTTAAAGGACCCCTGGTTGGAGGGAGGCGGCCACAGGACATTAGCCCAGTGGCCATTTCAGTAAAACCACCACAGGGGGCTCCTTCCAAGACAGAATGCGCCCTACTGGTGCCCAGCCTTCAGTGTCAGCTCTGCCCCCGGAGGCTGATACCGCTGGCCAGTCTCGAGCTGGACCCGTGTTGAGTGGCAGGTGACCGCCTGCTGGGGTCATCCTGGGAGGTACACCATGGGTCGTGTGGATATCATTGTTGTGGCAGGCTGAGAGACCAGGAGGCTCGGTTCTGAGTTCACTGTGTGGACAGTTGGCTGGGTGCATGGTAAGCTGGAAAGGCAGCTGGGGCTCAGAGCACCAGGCCCAAAACTCCAGGGGTCCATGTTGTGGGTCACAGCAGCCAGTTCTCTGATGCCATCGCTGAGGTCTCTGTGGGGAGAGGAGGTATGAGCTGGGGAAGAAAGGGGACTGGGCTTGATCACACCTGCTCAAGGACCCAAAAGTTGTGGGTCCTGCCAGGACCTACCCTGTGCCCTGAGGCACGCAGAGGCTGAAGCACTTCCTTCCAGGCCTGCTGCCCCGTCCCTCAAGCAAGGCCACCTTCCTAAGGGGTGGGAGGGGCTGTCTGGGGGCTTATGCAGGGTGTGAATAAATTATTAGGAGCCTGGCTGCCCAGTGGTACTTGAAAATATCCCAGGCAGAGAAAAGACACTCCAGGCCAGAAGTGTCCAGGCCAGAACATTTTCCCTCCTTCCAGGCCTATCCTTCCTGGTGGCCCACAGCCTTCTACACCCTCAACACCTTGGCACTTTCCCCTAACCCCCAACACAGTCCAGTCCATTCTCTAGGCCGATCAGACCCAGTTCCTGCCCATCTGTCCGACCCCACCCCATCTCCCAGCCTCCACATATGCTGGCCTTTTCCCCCATATGCCTGTCCTTTGCATACTGCCTCTCCCCTAAGGTGCAGTTTTTCCCATACCCCTTCCCCAGACAGGCACTCCACATGCAGTTACTTATCACCTCCTCCAGGGAGCCTTCCTAGATCACTGCTTCAACCCACACCTCCTTGTCAGGAAAACCCCAGGAAGTAGTAGGCATTAAGCAGTGACCTAGTGGTTCAGGGACGAAGTGAATGGATCAATCAGTAATTGAGAAGAAAGAGAGCTTGGTGGGTAAAGCGGGGGAGCCTGAGGTCAAACCCAACTTCAAGGATGGGCTCCTTGTATGTGATTCTGCCCAAGTGTTGGAACCTATCTGACTCTGCTATATGATGGCATGAAAATAGCACCCACAGCCAAGATGAAGAGCTGGTATCAGGAAGGGCTTAGGGCAGAGGTGATACTGGGAGGTGTTGATGAGTTAAGGTCAAGGAGTCAAGGCTTCACCCTGCTAAAGACAGCTACCACCAAGAGGCAGTTTAGGGCCCGCCTGAGGGGCAGGCAGCCCCAGACTCAGAGGGTCCTGCTGCTCTGCCTGAGAGCCACAAGCCAGGGGATGGGTGGCTCTGTCCTCTCTGTGTCCCCCTGGAGTTAAGCTGAGGGTCCAGGGTCCCCTGTTGGGGAGAGCTCAGGAGGAGGTGCTCCCTGCTGACCCCACCCAGCTTCACTTCCTTCTTCTGCCTCTGGAGCTACACCAGCTGGAGTCATGCTCTGAGAGGCTTCCAAGGCAGCCTCCCCTGGCCTGCATCCCTTCCATCCTGTTCTCTCCCACTCCCTGGGAGAGGCCAACACGGTTCCCGCTACAGTTCTGTGAACATGTGCGCGTGGAGGATGTGTGTGACCATCCGCAGCACACATCCCCAAGGTAGGACAGCTGGTGTCTGTGGGGCAGGGACAGGGCAGCGCCCCCAGGGGCTGAGGTGACCTCACACATCAGCCAGAGAAGCCACAGCTGCCCTCTACAAGGATGCCACGTGGCTTTGAGAGGCAGTAGCCCTGTCCCCTCTCCCGTATCATCCTCTTCCTAAGCAGAACACAGCCCTATCACAGGGCAGAGGTGTCACCAGGCAGGGGCCTGGAAATCAGACTGTATAAAAAGGAAACTATTAGTCACAACAGTCCCAGCCAAACTCAAACAAAAAGGGAAAAAGCCCAGCAAAAGTATTTGGAGCCAATGGCAGGTCTTTTCTCCTGTGATTCTGAGTTCCTAAAGCTCACAAGAAAAAACATTAGCAAGTAAAGTGGAGGAGCAAACAGAATGACTAACACCAGCAATGCCACGGGAAGGAAGGCTTTGAGCAAATATTTGTCCTCAACATTTGCTAAAGGAAATACAAAGGAAAAAACCTGTGACACTTGCAAAGTAAGCAAGAGACAAACAATTTGTTAGCTCCCAGAGAGGATGCGGTCTTCATAAATATGGCTGAACTAAGGTGTCTGGTGATCTAGGAGAAAGAACTGGGGAATAAAAATGTTCAGACTATTTGACCTAACGAATCCATTCAAGAAGTTACCTCTGCA